AAGGACCCAAATCTTTCCAATTAGGAATGAAAAGAGTGAGCTGACAAAGGAATCTGAAGAAATCCAGAAGATTATCAGTACCTACTTTGAGAACCTGTACTTCAATATCAGGCAATGAAATTGAAGAAGTAATAATTTAAAAAAACACAAACTACTAAAAGAGAAAAGCCTAGGTCCTGGCAGATTCAGTGCTGAATTCTATAATAAATTTAGAGAAGATCTAATGCCACTACTCCCCAAACTATTTAATGAAATTAAAAGAGAAGCAATACTCCCAAAGCCATTCCTGGAAGCAAGCATTACTCTGATAGCAAAACCAGAGATTTAGCCAACCAAAAAAAGAGAACTACAGACCAATCTTCCTAATCAACATAGATGCAAAAATGCTCAATAAGATACTGGCAAGCACAGTGCAACAAATCATCAAAAAGATTATACACCTTGACCAAGTAGGATTTATTCCAAGGATGCAGGGATGGTTCAACATATGTAAATCAATAAATATAATACACACATTAATAGAACAAAGGACAAAAACCACATGATCATCTCAATAGACACAGAAAAAGCATTCAACAAATTCCAAAACATATTCCTGATAAAAACCCTACAGGAAATTGAAATAGATGGTCTTTATCACAATCTGACAAAAGCTATCTGAGACAAATCAATAGCCAACATCATATTAAATGGTCAAAAACTGAAAATTTGCATTCTAAAATCAAGAACAAGACAAAGATACCTACTATCACCACTCTGTCAATATAGTTCTGGAAACACTAGCCAGAGCAATTGGATAAGAGAAAGAAATAAGGGAATATGGATAGGAAAGGAAGAAGTTAAATTATCATTATTTGGAGATGACATGATACTCTACATAGAAGACTCCAAAAACTCCACCAAAAGACTCCTAGAATTAATAACCAAATGCAGTCGTGTAGCAGGATAAAAATCAATAGCCTTCGTGTACACAAATAACAAACTTACTGAGAGAAAAATTAGGGAAACAACATCTGTCACAACAGCATCAAGAAAGCTGAAATACTTAGGAATCAATCTAACAAGGGAAGTGAAAAACCTATGCATTGAAAAGTACTGTGAAAAAAGAGCTCAAAAGAGGACAATAGAAAATGGTAAGCTATCCCTTGTTCTTGGCTAGGCAGAACTAATATAGTGAAAGTGGCCATACTTCCAAAATTGTTATATAAAATTAATGCAATCTTGATCAAAGGACCAATAGAATACCTCATAGAATAAGAGAAAACAATCGTAAAATTCATATGAAGCCAGAAGAGACCTAGAATAGCAAAAGCAAGGGCAAGGGAGGGGGCATCACAATCCCCAATTGAAGGTTATACTACAAAGCTACAGTGATAAAGATAGCATGGTAATGGCAAAAAACCAGATCTGAGGATTAGTGGAACTGAGTAGAAGATGCAGAAACAACTCCAAGCACACTCAGCTACCTTATCTTTGACAGAGAGGCCGAACACCCTCACTGGAAGAAAGATACCCTCTTTTATTTTTGTTTTTAAGATAGCCTCTTTAATAAATGGCATAGCTTTCCATATGCCAAAAATCGAATCTACACCCATATCTCTTACCATCCACTTAACTAAAATGGAAAGGAATCAAAGATGTAATTATTAAAGCAGAAATACTTAATCTGCTGGAAGACAGAATAGGTAAAACTCTGGAAGACATAAGTATAGGCAAAGACTTTACAAACAAAACCCTGATTGCACAGGAAATATTACAAAGAATCAACAACTGGGATCACATCAAATTAAAAAGCTTTTGTACAGCAAAGGAAACCACCAACAGAGTGAAGAGACAATCCATAGAATGAGAAAAAAAATCCTTTTGAGGTAGGGTATCTCTATGCAGTTCAGTCTGGCCTTGAACTCACAGCAATCCTCCTTGCCTCAGCCTCCTGAGTGCTGGGACTATAGGCATTCACCACTTTTCAGGCCTAGGGAAAAAATTTTTACCAGTCACTCCTGAGACAAAGGAGTAACATGTTTAATATATTAAGAACTAAAAAAAATAAATCAGACCACTCCATTTAAAGTCCTAATCCAAAAATGGCATCTGAAATGAATAGATACTTCTCAGATGTAGAAAGACAAAGAGCAAATAAATGTATTTTAAAATGCTCAACATCACTGGTCATCTGCGAAATGCAAATTAAAACAACCCCGAGATTCCATCTCACTCCAGAAAGAATTGTTATCATTAAGAAATCAACCAACAGGGGCCAGGGATTTAGCTCAGTGGTTCTGCCGCCTGCCCTGCAAGCTCAAGGACCTGAGTTCGAGCCCTGGTACCAAACAAACAAAAAAGAAATCAACGAACAGGGCCAGGGATTTAGCTCAGTGGTCCCACTGCCTGCCTTGCAAGTGGAAGGTCCTGAGTTTGATTCCTAGTACCAAAAAAAAAAAAAAAGAAAGAAAGAAAGAAAAGAAATCAACCAATATTAAATGCTTCTGAGGCTGTGGGGAAAAAGGAACCCTTCTCCATTACTGGTAGGAGTGTAAAGTGGTACAACCACTATGGAAATCAGCATGGAGATTTCTCAAAAAACTAAAACTAGAGGTTCCATTTGACCTGGTTCTTCTCCTCATAGGTATCTTCCTGAAAGAGTTAAAATCATCATACCACAGTAATATATGCATACCTATATTTATAGCAGCACAATCTATAATAGCTAAATCCTGGAAACAGTCCATGAACCCATCAACAGATAAATGGGTAAAAAAAAATGTGGTATTTATTAAAAAAAATTTTTTTTGGTACCAGAGATTGAACTCAAGACCTTGTGTTTGCAAGGCAGACAGCAGAACCACTGAGCTAAATCCCCAGCCTGAAAATGTGGTATTTGTATACAATGGAATACTCATCTGCCATAAAGAAGGACAAACTTGAATTATTTGTAGGAAAATGGATACCTCAAGATCATCTTAAGTGAGATAAATCTTAATCTTAAGTGAGATAAATCAGACACACAAGTTTAAATATTGCATTGTTTCTCTTGTGTATAGAGAATAGATGAGAAGTAGGAAGAATATGTTCAAATGGGAAGGGGAACAAGGGAGGGAATGGGAAGGAAGGGAAAAGGGAAAACAGAATAGAAGGAAAAAATGGCAACAAAGTTTTGTAAATGGGGAGGGGAAGAAGAGTTTAAGGGAGGGTAGGTTAATGGGGAAAAAAAAGAAGAATCAAGATATATTATGCTGGGCCAGGGATTTAGCTCTGGTTTCACCACCTGCTGCACAAGTGCAAGGACCCAAGTTCGATTGCTGGTACCAAAAAAACCCAAAAAAAGAAAAAAAAAAAAGATATATTATGCACAGGTACAAATTCCCTATGATGACTGTGATCTATGGTATGACAAATATGTTCTAATAAAAAATATGAAGTTAAAAAAAAGAAATGAAATTAGTGCCTGTTACAGCTTGTATTTAGATGTCCTCCCAAAGCCTCATTTAATCATAGGTGGGGCTTTCCAAAGGTGTCTGAAGATCACCTGGATCTAAGGGGCTTAACAGTGTGATTCTGGGTTTTAAGGGTGTATGGTTCTAAATTAATCCACTGATTGGAATTAGCATCTTTCTAAGTGTGGCTAGATGGATTTACTGAAGACAGAAGCCCTACCCTGGGTGTTGGTGGTACCATTCAAAATGCTTATACACTGCATGAGATAAAAAGGAAAGACAGGTTTGCTGCTGCTGCTGCTTCACTTCCCCTGCTTCCTGCCTGCCATGCTTAGGACTGTTTCTCCACTGCCGGCCAACTATGGAGGCCTGGATATAGTGGAGCAGAGATAAACCATCCCTGTTATGTCTTGTCTTGGATTTTCCTATCCCTCAGAATCCATAAGTATACTAAATTGTTCTTTTATTTCATTGAGTTTGGAGGTTTGTTTCTCAGCACAGCTATGTACTGCATAACAACATTTGGGTCAACAAGAGACTGATGGTGATCCTATAAAATTATAATAGAGCAAAAATTCCCATTCTTTATATTGTTGTATGCAGCCATGGAATATCTCATCACAATATATTACTTCCAGGTGTGTGGTGCTTCTGGTGTAAACAAGCCTATCATACTACCAGTCATATAAAAGAGTAGTGTACACTATTACATATAACACATGATTCATGATAATAAATGACTGTTACTGGTTTATGTATTTACTGTACTATTTACTGTACTTTTATTGTTAATCTTGAGCAGTGATTGCAAACCTTTTTAGAGCTTCCAATGGTAACAGCTGGTTGTGGCATGTGTGCCATGGGTTTGCCACTACTTGTCTAGTGTAGTATTCCTTCTACTTCTTGATTGTACCAAGAAGTCACATCGGGCAATTGAGTACACTCAATGATGGTCACAGAATGATGCAATTGCCTAATGTCAATTGAATTTCTCAGAATTCATTAAACAATGTGACTATACCTAGATCACTGAAATAATGGAAAAATGGCTTCTTTTTGGGACTGAATTGTCTTATCATTCAAGCCCATCTCATACAAAGAGAGAAGGAAGAGCCACACAGACACTTCTTCCTCTCCCTTCTCATCCACCTTTCCTCATTCCTTCTTTACTGTCCCAGGAAAGACTGTCCTGCCCCTACACTCAGGTTTCTAACTGTGGATTTCAGAGTCCCTTGCTTTTGGTTTTTATCATTTGTGAGAATGCATATTTTATGAATGAAGCAAGCTCCATGAGGGGAAGGCTTTCATGGGTGTAACTCACAATGCTACCCGGCTACTTAGTGTAGTGCCTGGCACACAGAAAGATGCTGACTGAGTGAATTTGAACTTGCCTGAGAGTATACACCGAGTAACAGATTTGGGCCGAGGACCTGATGTCCAGTGCCCTGGAAGGCTTCCTCTGCCACACCAGTACATCTCCACTCCAAACTTTCTCTTGCTGTTTTTGGTGCCCACACTTCTGATCATCTAGACAGTAAGGCATGGTGCTCAAAGAACCCTCCTAACCTGAAAACATTCCATCTTCTCCACAGTCATCTTTTTTGCCAAAATAATCCGGGAAAGGTTCTGTGAGTGTCTGGATTCCAGCAGGAGTTGAGTTGGTCTGAGGAAAAAAAAACAAAGAAAAAGGAAAAAAATCCCCAAATGTTGATTTGTTTAAACTTCTTCACAAACTTTACAACATAAGGAAACCAACAGAGACAAGGTCGTAATGAAGTAATCAGCTGATGCTGCTAATATTCCAGCAACAAGAAATGATTCCCGTGCTTCATGGGGTAGATATGAATAGGGTCATTAAAATACAGCCAAGGAGGGAGGGAGGGTTTACTTTTTCTGTCTCCTTCCAGTCTGTGTTCTGAAAGCTCAGCAGGAATTTAAACAAATAGCATGGAGGAATGGTGAATCTGATCATATTTAAAGAAAAAGCCCCTTTCAGATTTCTCCTTTTAATGCATTGGCTTTTGCAAATTTTGCTTTTTAAAAACACTGCCAGTTTGGAATTTTTTTTCTCCATCTGGAGAGCCTACTCAAGGAAAACAAAATTAGCATCAAATTGTTCTAATATTTTTCTGCCTTTTTTTCCCCCGTCTGGGTCAAGAAGAAATTGTTGCTCATATAAATGAGTGCCAGGGGGAGGGGAAGGAGGTAATGCTTTCCCCTTTGGTTAAAAAGTAAAAAATAAGGCTGGGATGTAGCTCATAAGTAGAGCATTTGTCTAGCATGCAGGAGGCCTTTGGTTCAATTCCCAGCACCGAAAATAAAGGGGGTGGGGTGGGACTGTAGCTGGGAGAGTAACTCGGTGGTACAGTGTGTCCTTAGCATGTACAAGGTCCAAGGTTTGATTCCCAGCATCAATAAATAAAGTTAGGGGAGAGTTAAAGGTAAATGGAGTTATGGACAAAAAGGAAAAATGGGCCTGGGAAGGTCACAGCTACACTGGGGGGATGAAACCGGGCCTGCAGTCTGCATTCCAGATAACAGGCAACTCTAAGAGGGGCTGATGAAACACTCCCCAACCTCAACAGGACACATTCATACTCAGCCAAGGCAGGAAGACTGAAACCCACGGAGGGAGGTGGCTCAGTGCTCTTACCTTGGACAAGTCCCTCCATTTCCTTAAACCTCAGTCTTCTCAGCTGTGCAGGGGGAGCAGAGACTACCTCTCAGAGGCGACAAGGTTAAATAATACAAAGGAAATTAGAACCGTATCACTTGGCTTTAAGTGTCCTGCAAACGTTAAATAGAAATATTAAAAAATCTCTCACAAGGCACTGTTGGGATGATTCCGGAGCCTTGGAGGCCTTGGGAGGGCACTCTAGCCAGCGGCCCTCCTCCTTCTCCAAGTCGGGCGGCCAGTTCTGGGCTGTGGGGTGGCTGGAGGTCCCAGGACTCCTCCAGTTAGCTCAAGCAAGTTTTTTGACACATAGTCCCATCCACACTTTGGCCCGAAAATTCAGCGAGGGTTTTTCTACCCTCTCTCCGTTGTTGGGTTCTGATTACTTCCATCTGGCTGCAGCCGCTCTAGTGGAGTCTCCAAAAAAACAAAACAAAACAAAAACCCTCCTTAGAAAACATATGCACCAAACCCAGAAGGCTGCTTCGTTTCTCGCCAACATGCGCTCCGCAGGCAACTTGCGCGAGCCGCTAAGGGGGGCGCAGCATGACCCCTGGCACCTGCGTTCGCCGCCAGCAGGAAGAGGGTCCGCGTGGACCGAGCCCCTGCCTCCCTTCCTTCTCGATCCTGGCTTCCGCCCCGGCGCCTGGAGAAGCGGGCGCCCAGGGAACAGCGACCGGGGCATCTCCGGGCGGAGGGAAGGAGGAGTGGGGAGGGCGGGGGGATTTCAGAGATTGAAAACAGAGCAGTCAGAGCTCCTGAGCTCCGCAGCTCATCTGACTTGAGTTAGCAACACCTCCCAACCCCCGTCCCGGCGCCTTGAAAAAAGTGTCGAAAACCGGCGAGTTCTCCCGTTCCCTGCTCGAACTTTCTTGCCGGGAAGGGGGAAGTGTCCCCCGTCGCCCCTTTCTCTCCCCTCCCCTTAGCGAGGCGTCCAGATCCCCCCCCAGTCTCCCCGGGGGCGGGGGGGGGGGCGGTGCGCGGCCACCGTTTGTGCCAAAGCCGAGCGCGCGGGGGCGCTGCGCCGTCCGGCGGAGCTGATGGATTGCAGGAGTGCCGGCGCTCGCCAGCCGAGGCAGCACGGCTCCGCGGACTTTTTTTCAAACTCCCATCAATGAGACTTCGAGGAGGAGCGGGAGGCGGCGGCGGCGGCGGCGGCGGCGGCGGCGGCGACAGCGGACGCGGAGGAAGGCGAGGAGGCGCAGAAGGAGCCGGGGGAAGGAGCGCGGGCCGCGCGGCACGCCGGAGCCTCGAGGAGGTGCCCGCTCGCCGGCTGTAGGGGCTGCCCGGCCCCAGCTGCGTGGTCCCCTCCCCTGCCTGCCCGCCCGCCCCACCCCGGCCAGCCTGAGCCCGGCACACGGCCGCCCGCGGCAGGGTCGTTGGGCCAGCCAAGTTGGAATGGGGGCCTGCAGCCACTGCCCGGCGCCTGAGAGGCCACCTGCGTGCTAGAGGCAAACTTTTGTCTCCTCGGTAAAGTTGCATTGGCCTTCTTTTGCTTGCTTGTCGCTGCAAAGTGCCTTCTGTTTCCGCCGAGCCCCGGCCGATTGGGATGCTGCGCCGTCTCCAGAGGGTCCTTCGGCCGGGTACCGCGCCACGGCGCGGGATCGTGACCCCGGGTTAGAAGGACTAGAGGCCAATGGGGCGACCCCGATTCTGGCTCTGGCCCAGCAGGAAGAGGACCTAAGAGGGATCTTGGCGCTGGGAACTTGGGGCCAGGGATCGATTTTGCACCTCCGTCTCTACCTGGGGAAAGCGTTTCTCCTGGGGTGCGCAGCCGGGCGGGTCCTTGCCAGGTCGCCCCACTCAGGGGCGGGGGGAGGGGAGGTGGTTTGCCGAGGGTGGAGGGTGGGATCGGAGACCGGGATGCTCTGAGCTCCCGTAGGTGGGCAGTGGGAGCGTCTGCGGGAGTCTGCGGTGTGCGGTGGGGCTGCAGCCGGCCGCTTATGAACTTTTGACTCACTTCTCCACGCTGCGCGCTCCGGAACCCTGCCTTTCTTTCCTCCTCGCTTCTTCCTCCCCCTCGCCGGCCCCTGTCGCCCCCTCCCCCTCGCAGAGCTCTCTGCTCTGGCTTCGTTTCTGGCCATTTCCCTCCTCCTCTCCTGCCCTCGTCCCGAGATCCCATTGACTTCCCAGAGAGATTCGCGTGTAATCCTCGGCCGGGTACCGGTCCCCCCACCCCTCATTTTCATCCCCGCCCCCCACTCGTCGTTTCCCTCCCAGCCCCCCAGGGACAATCTCTCAACAAGTATATTTGCTGAGGAATTTGAAAAATCCACTACTGCAACTTGATCTGTGTGTGATGGATGGGGAGAGGCGCGGAGAGAGTTGGGCGCCAATCCTATTAAGGGTTTAGAGAGGGGAGCGTTTTCCCCGGACGGGGGTGGGGTGGGGGGGCGGAAGGCGGGGTGGGGGAAGGGAGCGTGTGCGTGCGTGCCTGCGTGTGTGAGTGTGAGCGAGCCCGCCGCTCCGGGGAGCTGGAAGTCCACCCAACTCGGCGCCTTTTCAGCCCGGCAGTAATTGCTGTCATTTCCTAGGAATCCCGACTTCTATAGTGCGAGGAGCTGGGGTTGGAACCCGTGCACCTCACCCCGGGTCACTGGGCGCTCGGGCGAACTCGAGCTTGGGGTACTTCCGCCCCCATCGGGTGCTTCTCATTGCCCTCTTTTTTCGTGGTAATTACTTTGTGCACCCAGAGTTGATCTCAGCTGGAAAAGTAGACCTCTCTCCTAGAGTCTGGTTCCTGGGGGTGTTTTACATGCTCCTCTGACCCCAAGCCCGGGCATCCCTCTGGGTGCGCAGCCTGCAGTGCGGGCTTTGCAGATCCGGGACTGCGGCGCTGTCCTGGGCCCCTGCCCCGCCGCCCCTGCCGGGCGTGTGAAGGTTTAATCCCAACAGCTTCAGATAAAGGGAGCAGTTGTAAAACGCTCATATGCTGTTTGCAGACGAGGCTCTGGGGGATGTTGGAGAATTTGAAAGTAAACGTTTCCCTCGCAAGCGGCATAAAATAGTGTTTAAACAAATATTGTATTGGCATGCTCAGGGGGCCCGGTGCCAAAAAGTAAAGTAAATAAACTGTGAAATCCAAAATATACAGCGGGGGATAGCAGCGGAATAGGCGGGCTTGTCACGAGTCTCCCTGATGAGATCTGTTTGTTCTAGCCACCTCCTCTAGGAGCCCCCTCCCTGCCTATTTCCTTACCTAGGTCGGGAGTTCCCTTCCCCTCTGGCTTCCGAGTGTCTGGGGGCAGGCCTTCCCTGGGTCTGGGTGCACCTCCAAAGTTGCTCCGTCTGGGGAAATTCACTGTGTACCTGCCTGGGCTGATCTTCCCAAGGGAGGGAAGGGACCCCTGGCCATGCTTGACTGGTTTGAGTTTTGAGGCTGTTTAGCCTTCTTCCAGCTTCTGGTCTGTCCTGGGGCAGTGATTTCAGAATGTAGAATCTCGGTGCTACAGATGCTCCCTAAAGGGCCTCCCTGCCTGTGCTCCTCTTTCTTCATCATTCTTGCTTTCGATTTCCCAGGTTTGGTTGCTCTCTTGAGGGTTCCAGGATTTGTGGAGACTTCGGCATCCATATTCTCCTCAAACCTAGCTGCATGGAAAGTTGTCTCTTGTCTGAAGAGTTTTAATTATATTTTGTAAGATTTAGGGTGGTTTTGTGTTTCCCCTTTGCTTTGACGACAATGCCAATTTCACTAGGTTGTTTCTGATTCTAGAAGGATTTAAACTAATGCTGGCAGCAAGTGGCATTTAGAGTAGGCCACCTGCCCTGGGTGAACCAGCCTTGCACCCGACAAACTGCTCAGAGTGATTTGTTTGCAAAGTCAGCTGGTGAGACCAAGGAAGAGGGAGAAAACCCCTTCCCAGCGAGGATGGGACTCATTGAGCAACACGGTAGGACTGTGAGGGATTTTTTTATCCTTTATGGGCGTTGATGTAGCCCAAGTTTGCACAGGCTTCAGACTCCTGGCACTGGGACCTCCAGATTGCTCCCAAACTCCAATGTCCCCAGCCCTCCGAGGAGCTCTCGACTCAGCCCACTCTGAGGCTGAGCCCCCTCCACTTTCTCAGGATGCTCCAGCCCACTTCGGAGAACACTGAACAGAGAGGAAATGCTCTGAGGTGCCTCGTCAGAAGAGGGGCCTGCAGTCTGTGGGTCAGCAGCTCATTGCCTGGCTGCAGGGATCTACAGGGCTGTGTACTAGAGCTCGCTTGTTTGCACTGCAGACTGAAAAATACACAAATACTTCACGCTTTTTGTACTCCCACAAGTGCCCTGTACACAGTGCAGCCCCTGGGGCTGGATTAGCAACTGGGGGATTCAGCAGGCAGACAGACAAAATTGGATATTTGCCTATAAACACCCTTCTTGCATCAGGGCCCCCTTTGGCCAACCCAAGGGAAAACTTGAGTGCAGCAAGCCCCTTCAAATGAGACCAGGAGGTTGTCATGTGCACTTTGAAAGCCAGTGTGACCCCCTCACACTCGGCTGGCTTGTTAAAACTCAAAACCAGAGTTCTGCATCCTTGTGTGTCTACAGGCTGGGCAGCTGGCCGGTCCAGGAATGTGTGTTCAGCCGGCTTTCTTTCTTGTGCCTTGCGCTCTGGGGAAGGAAGAGTGAACTGCCTAGCTACTTTAGGCTTGGGGGAGGGGGACATCTACCTGTGCCAGAGCCTGTTTCCTGGAGCTTGTGGGACAAGAGATGGCCAGGACAGGTGGACCTCGCTGTGGACAGCCGCAGCTGTGCCTGCTGGACCAGGCTCCTTTGAAAAGGAACCCTGGGGAAGCAGTTGCCTCCTTTTTTCTTTTCAGTGAGTGTCAGAGGCAGGGACAAATGAAACGTGAAGAATGCCAAAGAAAGAAACAGTGTTCTCAGATTCCAGAAAATTTGTAGAGGCAGAAAAGGTGATTGTACCAACAACCAGAATGCCCTGCAATTTCAGTGTGCAAGGCTGTCTCACGTCTAAAAAACTGGGGAAAGGCAAACTGCTCGCTTGTTTAAAAGCAGATTGGGAAAAGGGTCGTGGACATTGACGATTGCTAGTATCCTTGGGTAAAGAGTAACACCTACTCATGTGTGATTTTCAAAGAAACACATACACCCGTTTCAATAATAATCATTTTCTCTAAAATTAATCGGAGAGTTTTCTGTGGAATATCAAGGATTTTAAAAAGCAAATCATTGGTCATTGCTTTTAGATTTTGAGAGCAACAAAGCATCCTTAATGTATGCAACTACACTAAAAAACCTGGGAAAACACAGGGATGAAGACAGCATACTTTCTGTGCGTTTAGTGTCTTATTTTCCCCCCAATTCTTTCATCAGCAAAAGAATCCTTAATATTGAGGTTTAGGCTTTGTTTCTGGTTTCTTAAAAAGCATACATATGGGAGAAAATAACTCATTTAAGATGTGACCAAAGAGTACATATTAAACTGTTTCTTTGAGATTTGAGTTTAAATGGAACAAGTTAATGTGGTTTTATTTGTGTGCACATGTGTGTTGTTTAAAAAAAAAAAAGCAGGTCCCTGGGAAGTGTGTTTTAACTGAGTGCCAAGTTTCAGCCATTAGCATAAGAAAAACAGTTTTAGTGCTTTTACTATTGTCTTGAATGAGGAGTTGCAGCAAATGGAAGGCTAGCAGTGGAGGGGCGATGGCCCATTGAGATTCTTCAGCAGCCCGAGCTCGTCATCTGCCTCGGAAATCAGTGATCGGATATCACTTTTATCTCGCTTTTCCATTCTCTGGCCTTTTTCACACGTCACTTTTGTCAGGGTTTATTGATTATGTTTTCTTCTCTGCAAATCTGTGGAAAATTTAATGAACCAAAAACGGTAGTGAAATAAAGAGGACTTTTTATTCATTAGCACAGGATTGGGATTGATTTTCTCCTTCCTATGGCCAGGGCTCTAGGCCTCCAGATGTAGAGGAGGGAAGGTGCCCCTGCTGCAGGCTCAGTCGGGCCTCCCCAGGCCTGTGGCCTCCTGGCTGGCCAGCACAGGGACTCCTGTCCCAAGTGAACTCAGAAAGCTGTTCCTGGGGAGAGCTGGTGTCCAGTTGGCCCTGCTGCAGCCCCCAGCCTGTCCTCCACAGGCTTCTGGCTTGGGGTGGGTGGAGGTGGGGTATTTATATCTCCCAGGCTTGCAAACCGGTCCAGCACCCGACCTGGCTGGGGACACAGCTAAGTATCTCCCTGCCTCCAGACCCAGCTCTGGAGCCTGTAATTAAGCAAAGCCCCCAGCGTGATTACTCTGCTGGGTTGGGGCTGGCTGCCTCTGTGAGGTTGGTGAACTCTTGCTCTTTCCAGCAGCTCCCTGGACAGCCTGGACTACACTGCTCTACCCTGCCTGACTGTCTCCTCCACTCTCTCCCATCTTCCTTTTCTTTATCCTTTCTCTGTCTCCCCTCTCTGGGCCCTCCCCTCCCTAGGTCTCTTTTCTTTGCCTTCTTCCCTATCTTTCCTTTTCCTCTCCT